TGTACCTTGGAGAAGTGTGCCCCTCCCACCAGGACACTCAGGGGGGCACTTTTGGTTTTTAATAATACAGTACTAGCTAAACAAATTAAAGGCCTTATTTGGCCTGTGAGGTCACCACTTTTAAGATTTGTGACCTTCCTCACTCCTAGACCCTAGGCTTACCCTACTGGGGGCCTTGCATTTTTGGGGTGGGGCTCTACTGCAAAAAAGAGTAGTTTAATCAGAAAAGTAATAGGGCCCTGGGAAAACAGTTAAACAGTAATTATAAACAAGTAATGAAATGTTTGGAGAGCAATTGGGGCAGCACAAATTTTGACTTAATTTTAATTTGATTTATTTCTTTTAAGGGGCTGGATTAGGAGTGGGGTTTGCTCAACTCTCCCATTCCTGAAAACTGGAAGGTCACACTGCATAAGCCAAGCTACCTGAGACAGGTACCATCTTCACATACGATAATTACATTTTAGTCTATTTAGAAATAAATAAGTATATCTGATTAATTATTAGGTCTTTACAATGACTTCCTCAAACTCTTCTTTAATTCCCCCAAACACATCAAAGGACAATAATAGTAAATAATCTTATATAAATGTCTCATCAGGAAAAGAAACACCAATAAACAACTCTTAGTTGCTTTAAATTTTAAATGTCCTTTTCTTATTATTATGTAAAATGCAAATCCTAATTTGCATGTATTTATTTCCAATGTTTTGAACCTCTTTAATAGGCAGATAAAACTCCCAAAGCATTTCAAGCTGTAATTATAAGTGTGTACTTCCCATAGCTTAGAGGAGGGGCATTAGGAAGGTGAAAGCTGGGGGCAAGAGCCCTATAATGCCCCTTAACAAAATCCTGGCTCATGGTTTGTAATATATAGAACCAGTTTTCTTAATTTCTTCATTAATTAAGAGACATTTCTATTTGGCTTCTCTGTAAATTACAGATGTTTAATTAAGCCAGTTGAAACAATCTCTGTCTTGTAGTGTAACCACTCTGTGACATCACACAAATTTAAATGTCAACATGTAGCATTAATAACCCACTTGCCCCAAATTTAAATTAGCTTTTTATGAAAAAAGCTAATTCCTTGGGACAGCAAATAATTAGCTTTTTATGAAAAAAGCTAATTACTTGCAATAACAAATAATTAGCTTTTTATGAAAAAAGCTAATTATTTGGAATATAATTTTATTTCACGTTATAATTACAGCTTGCTTTACTGGAACTCAAAAACTCACTTTTTAAATGTGCGAGAGAGTGGCCAGCAACGCAGCTCAGGGCAGCAAAGCACCACAGGAAAAGGACCAAAAACTCAAAAGCCTGAAGGCCAGCAGCAAGACAATAATTTACTCTGGCCATTCAACAGTTACTGAATGCCTACTATGTGCCAAGCACAGTTTACTGTATATAGGCAGGTCAGGCAGAGCTAATCACCTAGAATTCTTATGGAAAAACCAAAAAACTGAAATGTTTATGCTCACAAACTTCTTCCTCAGAGGCCAAGCCATAAACCAATGCCACTTCAAACTCCTAAGAAACACAGTTCAAGATGCTCCTGTTTCTGTATTCACCAAAGCATTCAATTCCAGGAAGTCCAATGGTGTCTTAAGAAAATAATTAAATATGAAAATATTTTAAATTTAATTTTTAATTTAAAATAAATAATTGGCTTAATTGCTTTAAGGCATCAGCCAGGTCTTCTTAGAATTCCCATATCCGACTATCAGTTTTAATTGTGGGATCATTTTATTTAATAATGCAAAGCACTTATTAAAAGTGCTGATGCATGCCAAGTATACTTATTATTGTTGCTAATTATTCTTATTATTCTTATATTTACTAGACACCTGTGGACAAAAATCAAAACTGCGCAACACTGAAACCGCAGGGAGGCGGGGCTGTACAGCCAGGCTCAGACAGTTTGGCGCACTTGCGCAGTAGAGGCAAGCCTGTGGGGAGGGGCTGGGGCCCACACTACGCATGCGCAGGCACGATGCGGGGAAGGCGGGGCTCCAAGCCTCCTCAGTGAAGGAGCTCTGGGAGGAGTCAGACATTAGAGAGGCGGGGCCTGGACCTCAGAGGAGGCGGGCCTTGGGCGGGGCTGAGCAGGCCACGTCAAA